ACCGAAAATGCGTACGGAATTCAAAATGGCCAACTTTGACGGCACGCCACAGACACACCCTTCAACGTACATGCACAAATAGCACAACTTTTAATCAGCACCATGGTTTGACTGTACTGACCAATTTTGAAGCAGATCCGATAAATTCCCTAGGAGGAGTTCGTTCAAATACAAGCCCAAAAAGTCAAAATGTGTGTTCTGGCGGTACATCAAAGTTTGACGCCACGCCACGGACACGCCCTGTAACAAAAACTCATCACAATCAAGAAATATCATCAAGAACATGTTTTCCATTTTCTGACTAGATTTCAGCTTGATCTGATCATCCTAATAGGAGTAGAACATGGAAGTATAAAAAAATGACATTTCCTTTCACCACTAGGTGGCTCACTTTTACTGAATATTATCACATAGACGTGTTCAGGGTGGGACTCTTATCAGACATGTGAAGTTTGGAGCCGATTGGACAATGTGCACTCAAGTTATAGCAAATTCGTGTTCCCGCCACACTACAGACACGCCCCCTCACCGCAGTCATCACATATAATCAACAATGTGTTTTGCATTTTATAAGTACATTTCAGCTGGGTCTGATCATCCTGCTAGGAGTAGAACATGAAAGTATAAAACGTGATACTTCCTGTTCCTCTTCTTCAGCCTCCACACTGTCCAGCTCCATCCCCACCACCGAGCTAGCCTTCCTCACCAGCTTGCTTAGCTTGTTGGCACCCATAGTCCCGATGCCACTTCCCCAGCACACCACAGCAAAGAATATGACACTGGCCACTACTGGTAGAACATCCGTAGTAGCTGAGTGTACACGTTGAAGGACCTGAGCCTCCTTAGAAAGAACAGCCTGCTCTGTCCTTTCCTGTAGAGGGCCTCAGTGTGGTCTGTCCAGTCCAGTTTGTTGTTTAGTGTCACCCCCAGGAACTTGTAGGTGTCCACCATCTCTACCCTCTCCCCCCTAATCGCAACTGGGGAGGGGGGGGGGGCCTTTTGCTGCGCCAGAAGCCCACCACCAGCACTTGGCTTTTCCCTGTGTTGAGCTGTAGGTGGTTTCTGTCGCGCCATCAAATGAAGTTCTCGATCAGGTCTCTGTACTCCTCCTCCCTATCATCTATGATGCAGCCAACAATGGAGGAGTCATATGAGAACTTCTGTAGGTGGCACACTTCAGAGTTGGAACAGAAATCAGAGGTGTAGAGGGTGAACAGAAAGGTCCTGAGCCACCTGCATCACAGAGAGCTTCTCTGCCAGCCGGAGAGACTTGCTGTTCTTGTTAATAACAGATGTGCAATCCTGGTTAAATTACGGTCAAGGAATGTGTCTGTTGCCTGGCCATTGAACTGATTGCCGTAGGACTCCGTCCGTATTATTTGCCATGGGAAATATCACACACTATTGTGTTGGCTGTTTACATTTCTTCCTCTGCTAACCGATGTCGGCATGCTACATTCACACCGCCATAGCTCAACTTCAGACCCAACACCTGAGTGCCTGAGTAAAGTGACTTAATTCATCACACCAGGTGTATAATTCTTCAGAGAGCTAGCAACTCTCAATATTTTGAAAGAATTTATCCTACAACCCTGCCCTCTGAGCCTATGTACACCCCTAACACCTTAAGCCCCTCAATGCCTCCCAACAGCACCTCCCTTTTCCAACAGCCCACTTGACAAAGCCTTTTGATAAATCTGAAGTGTATCCACCATTGCCTGAAGGTCTTGCTCATTTTTAACTAGCACTGATACATCATCCACGTAGGTTGAGACTACTATAGGAATCTTAAAAACTCTAAGCCCAGTCCACCTAGAACCTTATACATACCTAGCTTAGGCAGGGGCCTGAGCAAAAAGCATCTTCACTCCAGCAATATAAAGAGACAGAGAGACTCGACATTTGATGTTCTTTCACATCATTTCAGAAAATGGATTAGAGTGATACTTCTCCTAAAATCTCTCTCTAAAGTGTGTACAGCTGAGACTCAGCTTTGTTTCAGTTTAAATGTTGAAAACATACAATAAGTGCTCCCTTAAATACTACTGATAACATTACATTCAGCTGTAATGGATCAAACCCCAAATGTCTTCTGCAACATGCCTGAGTAAATCATGTTTTAATTGACTTTTAAGCAAACTTCTTGTGGAAAGAAAAAAATAAATGTCAGATATCTGGAACATATTTGTTTTGACCCGATTTTGGGAGAATTGGTATACAAATAGTTTTTTCTTTGACATTAATACAAATGTGGACAAGTGAAATAGACTTGTTTCTCTATAGTACACTTGTGTAGTACAGTCATGTCATGCTGTAAGTGACCTTGCTCTGTCAGTACATTAACTCAGAGAGAAAAAAACTGCTCCCTGTGGCAAATCGTACTTCCATCTTAATGGCCTCTATTTAAAGAGACTGCACAGAGAAGCACACATTATTTAGTTGAGAAAAGTAATTTCATATCAAACAGGAAGCAAAAGCTCTGTCCATTTATCTCAGTAGTCAACTGGGTCGAGGGAGACGACCACCCACCTAGAGCCGAAGGGTCTGTCCAAGGTTCTGCCTCTTAACAGGCAGTTTTTCCTTGCCCCCGTCGCTAAGTGCTTGCGCATGGTGGTACTGTTGGGTCTCTGTATGTTATAAGGAGTTCGGTCTAGACCTGCTCTATTTGAAAAGTGTCCTGAGATAACTTCTGTTATGAATTGGCGCTATACAAATACATTTTCTGGATCCGAAAAAGTATAAAGAACATATTACAAATTGTTTCTGTTTAACTTGCACAGCATCTTCAAACACAAGAATTTAGAGTACCAGTTTCACATGAATGGGTTCACACAATTCAACAACTTCTAAGCACAGAACTTTCATTGCTCTGTGTGACAGTTGATTATGTAGTTTTTGTTCATTGCAATTCATAAGATCAGTGTTTCTCAAACTTTTCACATCACACAGCTTACCACTTCAGAAAATTTTAGGTTTTCCCAGTACCACCATTATGACCAATGAATACAGTAGCGTAAGCCGACCCATATTAAGCTACAGAAAGTACACACAAGAGGCAGGTTTATTCTTAATAAGAATATTGTTGTTGTAGTCAAGCTGTAAATGGACCTGTACTATACAAGTACAGGTCCTTTCTAGTCTTCCGACCACTCAAAGCGCTTTTACACTATGCGCCACATTCGCCCTTTCACACAGCGATGGCAAAGCCCATCGAACAGAAACTAACTCATTCATACACATTCACACACTGATGCACAGCATTGGGAGCAAATTGGGGTTCAGTATCTTGCTCAAGGATACTTCGACACGTGGCAGGAGGAGCCGGGGATCGAACCAACAACCTTTCCGATTAGGGGACAACCCTCTTCGCCTCTGCGCCACAGCCTCCCTGTACAAAGGGGAAACACTAGAACTGGCACTGAAATTCTTCCTCAGAACTCTCATGCACTGCAAAGTGGGTTAACTAACCATGGCTGTATGTATGTGCTATGACATGAATGTGACAATGTAGCAGACTGATGGCAAAAGGCAAAACGTATTTTGAATCACATTTCGGTAATCTCAGTTTTCAGCATTTTCATTCAAAATGTTGAAATATTTTGAGAAAACATTTACGCGATTCCTTCCTACCTGCGTAACAGCTACCTTGCTGAACTGCTGTGGCTTGCATGGCTGTTAACATGGATGCTGAAAGGAAAAGTAGCTAAATAAACTTGCAAAATGTCAAGAAAGGAACACACCTAGTTTCATTATTAAAAATAAAACAACCCATACATCTTCTGGATTCAAGTTTCTTTTTTTTTTTTATCAAGCTAAGACTATACTTGCTTTGTTAACTCATTGTAAAACACACATCATTCAAACAAACATTCAGCAAACAATGAACAAACAAGCTGCACCTTCCACAGCCTGTATGGCATCCACAGCAAGAGAGTATGGGAGAAAAAACTCTGGGGCGGGAGATTGGTGGTACAACAGGGCTGGTGGTGGGTAGTACCAAAGCTGAAAGTTGTCACACAGTTCCAGCTTTCCACTTGCCCCAGCCCTAAAGAGAGCTGCAGACACCCACTTATGGTCCTGTTTTGGCAGGGTCTCTGGCCACAATAGTGGGAGCTATGGGGTACACTGTGGCTGAAAGGCTGTGGTATCTGATTGCTGCCTAGACGAAATATGAATATATGTTTGAATAGAAGCAGTATGAGTAAGTGCGAATGAAAGAACCTTTTAGTGAACCTTAAGTCATTGTCTTCTATACTAACCTGAGAAGCTTTTCTCAGGACATTCAGGTTCGGTTTTGCTGCTGCCACATGGGAACCACCAAACCTGGATTTTCAAACCGACAAAAAGCAATAAAGTAATATCATCAATATCATCATTACATTGTTTACTACATTGTAACTATTACTATATATTTAAAAGGCTTATGTGATAAAATAAGAAAAGCAATAGTGAAACTCTTGGTTTTATAGTGAAGGTTACATTTACCATAGACAATACCAGTTTGGTCTCCTTTGCAGGACTTTCCTCTGTGGCTGGACGAGCTACAGGTTGTTCCCTTGACTGAAAAAACATAAATATGTAAAGTAGCTTAGATACTTACATAGGCAGTTAACATTAATACGAAATACATTAATCTATTTTAGTTGCTTGTTGAATTTAATTTAGGTTACCTTGTGAAATACACAGGAGCAGCTCGGAGGTCCACTCATGAGGGTGGCCTGTCATCATAGCTGAACCATAAAGTACAGCTATATCACTCTTATATGTCAGAATTGCAAAATATAATTGTAAACAAATAACCACTTTTACACTTTTACCATTGTGTACTACTGTGCTAGTTATGTATTTGAAAATGGTCAAATGTATCGTGTTAGGGTGTTTTTAGTTAGAACATGTATTGCTTTTACAATTATACCATTTCATAATACTGGTGCCACTTCTTCTGCCGAGGAGCAGGTCTGTTGTCTTTACTGACAGGCCAAACGCCCATGTGTGCAAAACTCTGCAAGCGCTTGAGCCAGTCTGTATCACTTACAGCCTTGTGCAATGTTTTGGTGGACATCTGAAATAACATATTGAACACTAGAAAGGCTGAAGAACATATATTTATACCACCGGTATTTCCATCTATATTAGTGACAGTATATCTAAAGCTATCTAAAACAGTTTAATTCAAAACAATACATCAATGAACAACTATAATAATGATAGACATTTAATGTCAGCACTTAAAAAAATGTTCTTATTGTTTTATGGCAATTTTCAGGGATGGAAAGTTAGCAACAAGTACTCATCTTTTATGTACTATCTACTTCACTACATTTCAAAGGAAAACTACTATTACTACTACTACTGCTACTACTACTTTTTCCTCCATGCACTTTTTTAAAGGGTTTACACATAAAGTTTAATTAAATTCTGTAGAACACTGTATCAAGGATGGAATCCTTCAAATCACTGAAATAGAACACAAAATAAAATTTGATCTGTCCAAACAAACAACAAATCTTTTTTTTATCAGCTGACTGATGAAAACATGCTAACAGCAAAAGTACTCTTATTTTGGGACCAATATGATGACAGATTAATATGCTGAATTAGGTATTTGCATTTCCTGTTTGCCGTGTCCCTGTAGGCGTACACATGTACAGACTATCACTGGATCACTTTGATACTTTGACCACAGTCTCTGCCACATGAACAGTTTTCTTCACATCTGCAGCTGATCTCAACAAGGCACAGGATCCCCCACTTACACTGCCTCTTATACCTGTCAACCACCCTCTCATCCACCCTCTACACAGTAACCTCACATAATAATGTTTACTAACCTGATAGGCATTACATTACCATATACCTTTTGAACATTGCAAATAGTCTTTAAACTTAATGCTGTGATAGTTAATTCCCTGGAGAATAATTTGCAGAAATAAATAACATATTGTCTTTTTATAATTGTCTTAGTTTTTATGTTATTGTCAATTTGCTTCTTGACTGCAGTACTTGCTTTTACTATTGTAAAAAAATCTAAAAATATTTATTGTTATGCACCAATATAGTGAGGCTCAGAGGTGCATGTGAAAACCTAGACTACTAAAACCTAAACCAGATTACTACAGAAAACTTAAAAACATGAGGATTCTCACGCAAGTGAAGGACTGATTATTTAATATAGCTCTATGGCACGGAGGAAGATACTTGGCAGCAGAAGACATTCATTATAGGTCTGGGTCTTTTCAGGGGATTTAAGAAGAGTATAGAATATCACCAGCCTCAACATTTAATATTTGAAGGGAATTTTGGCCTTGTTTGCCTCACTTGGATAGTCAAAAGTCTAGTGCGAAAGGAAATAAAGACAGCCTTAGGCTGCTGGTCCATTAGGACAGCCCCCTCTTTCTGTGTGCTGACATTGGCATTGACACTGGAGCTGCTTAATCTTAGATATTTGGAGATGTTTGCTGAGATGATAATTTGTCATGTCATCTTGACATGAATTCCACTGAGGCCTCCTTACTGTAGAACAGTGTGAAAATGGAGACTGAGATGGTCCCTGTAGATCATAATCAACACATCTGTGTCACTGTTAGTGGAGTTTTTTGCAGTAACTCAGCTGACATGAAAGGTTTGAGTTACCCTGAAAAGGATGAGGTTGACAGTTAAATCAAAAAGACAAAGGTTGCCATGGCGCCGCCGCAGGTGGCAGCCCTTTCAGCACATTCAAAAAACTTATATCCATGCGTTCGGTGAATGGAGCTGAATCTCCCCATATAGACCACGTCCATTACCCCCTGGAATTTTTTTTCTAGCGTGAAATGTCCATAAACTACTTTTTCGTGTTCCTCCTACACGCTTTCTCTGATTCGCAAAAAAGTTTTCACGTAGCATCTGTGGACCGTCCGTATAAAAAAGTCATTTAAAGAATTTTGATATTTCAAAAATAAGCATGTTATAAAATTAAAACTTCCTGTTGTTTTTTCATTCATTCATGTCATTGTGTATGTTTCATTCATGTTAAAAATAAGCATTTTAGCCTGAAGTCATTCTTTTGATATTTTATGTTTGCAGGTTGACAAGGCGGTGCTATCCGTCATGACTGATGAACAAATGGCAAAATATATCACTTCATATGGCGACCGAGTAGCTGTCCTCTCCTTTTGTCAAAGCACAAAATGCAGCACGGATAAAGAGACTCTTATACAGAGATTAAGAGAAAAAATAGGATCACGGAAAATGAAATCAAAGACAAAAGGACAGCTGTGTGGTGCATCAGGTGTGTTCCAAACGCACGGTGAAGGGATGGCCAGACATGGTAATAATGGAGCAGATAAGACTTCCCGGAAGATTGAAATTGGATGGCTTCATTTTGGAGTGGGGAAATACCAACAAGTAAGGACCGGAAATGGTGGAGGAACAAGACACTTAGCAGTGAACAAAACAACAACTGTTGCTCAGATTTTGGAAATGGGGAAGGGGCTATTTTTCCCAGATGGACACTCAACAAAGGGGAGGGTTGAAGAATTTACCTTCAGTGTGTGTGATTTTAAACGAAAGCAAATTCCTCTAGATTACACTGTAGGTGGCCTTTATGAGCAACTAAACTGAAAATCCTACGATTTTACATTTCCACAAAAGAAAAAGAAGAACAAAAAGAACTTTCAACAAATCAACCCCCACCTGTTGAAGAATGCAGTGAAGACTCCTTCCAATCATCTGACAGTGACATTAGTGAACAGGTTTGTGACATTAGGATATATATTTGTCACAAACAAAATAATAAGAAATGTAGATTTGGTACATTTCTATTGCGTTAGTTGTCCTTTATTGTTAAATGGCATTGATGGAGCTTACTGTGCTATTAAATGTGGAACATGTATTTCTCCCCGCCTTTAATTCTAATTAACTGCTGAGAACATTTAAAATATGTTTGTATGTGTTAATTTGTTGCAGAATCTGCAGATGTCAACATGATTTAAAAAACAAAGAGTAACATCTGGGACCATGACAGCAGAAGGCCCAGGAAAATGGCGTCACTTGCATTCTACCCCAACTCACTTTAGCCAGGAACAGGACACCAGCTCAAATGAAATCGTCGATCTGACCAATGCCGATCCTTGTGACTACCCTCAAGCAGAGCCTAGGCAAATCTATCATGAAGATGTTTCAGAGTCAGATGAGGCAGATACAATTGAATGGAATCCAGAAGACGACCTCGGTGGAGCAGATGTTGATGACACAGTCATATTAACATTGAAATATGTCAACAATGAGGGTGCCACACAGGTATGTTTGGGGTGAGAAGGTAGAAATACAATGACAACTGTTAACAAAAATAGAGAACCATATTCATACTAAACTTCAGTGAACTACATTCTGTAGTTTTTAAGTTTGCTTCTATGAACTACAAATAAATGCATTCCTACTTTTTACCGTGGGCATTCCTGTGAAATTACCATAGTGCTATGAAACACTTCCTGTAGACCTATTTACCTACCTACTCATACTGAATACTTTTCATCTTTCAGAGTATTGAGCTGCATGAAGAACCTGTGCAGGATTTACACCTCCCATCATCTTCAGCTGATGGCCTGCCTTCACTACATGTACCATCAATACTTGAAGCACAAGTGCAAACTGCAGTGGTAAGATGTTTCACTGCAAGAAATTTCAAAGACATCCTTTAAACCACTGAATAGTTTTACATAACTGCGGCCTGTAAAAGGCATTTTTATATTCTCTGTCAGCTCTGAAAAAATATGTGATGTCACACAGAAGATGTCTTAATTAAGATGGCTTGGGAATTGGAGACAGTAGATTTTGAATAGAAATCCTGTTAGAAAATGGAAATATGGAGACCTCAGAAGACATGTTTTTGAGTTGCATCATGGAAAACTTGGGATCCAATATTATTTGGATCTTGATTTATTCTAAACATAATAATAATTGAATATTTTGGCCTCTGCTTCCTTCATTCACCATTTATTATGTGTGTTTTTTTCTTCTAGCAACCCCAAGATTTGCCATCGAGTTCAACCAGACAACTTTTCGTGTCAGCCTCAGCTGCCAGTTCAGCAGATCTAGAGGACATACGACATGCATCAATTCACAGGATAAAGGTTGTTAAAGATCTTTTGGCTGTATTTATGGACAGTAGCATAGTTCATTCAACTCTAAAGATGGACTTTGTAAATGAAAAAGCTATTGATGATGCTGGAGTGTCAAGGGAGGTTTACACTGCATTCTGGGAGCAATTTCTTGAACAGTGTGAAGGTGAAACTGAGCGAGTACCAAGACTGAGGCCAGATTTTGGTGAGGCTGAATGGCAAGCAGTTGGACGGATTTGGGTGAAGGGATTACTAGATCATGGTGTCATTCCAGTGAGGCTCTCAAAAGCTTTCATTGTAGCTTGCATTTATGGGACCGACTCGATTGATGGAGACATCCTTTTGACGTCATTTCTCAACTTCCTCGCTCCTGTTGAAAGATCGGTCGTGGAGAGGGCTCTCCAGGGCACAATGGAAGAAGGTGATGAAGAGGATCTGCTTGACCTGTTTACAAGTATGGGTTCCCATTTCCTACCTACAAAGGAAAACATGGAGACTGCCATAGAAACAATGGCTCATAAAGCCATTATCCAAGAGCCAAAGTACATCATTGATTGTTTCTCTACACCCATGGCCCTTGTACAGCCAAATCTGCCAGACAAAGAAAGGGTGTTGTCTCTGTACGAGACAAAGAAGGCCACTGGGAAAAGAGTGTGTCAGCTGTTGGAAACGACAAAGTTGGTGCTCTCTCAGAGAGAACAGACAACCTTTAACCATCTCCAACGCTATGTGAAAAATGCTGATCAAACTAAAGCTGAAAAGATCCTGCGCTTCTGCACAGGCTCTTCTGTGATATGTGTTGAAAAAATATTGGTAACCTTCAATGCTGAAATTGGACTTAACAGAAGGCCTGTTGCTCATACTTGTGGGGCTACCCTTGAAGTACCGTGTACTTACAGCTCTTACCCAGAATTCCGCACTGAATTTGACAACATCTTGTCCAGCAGCTACTTTGAAATGGACATCCTTTGAATCATGAACTTTGAGCAGTACTTGCCAGGCATGATTGTGAACTGTGTAAATTTGAAAGGAATATTATATTTAATTTAGTATTTGGGTTTGTTTATTTTTATTATTCTTATTTTTTACATTGTTATGTCATGCCACAGAGCCACCTGCAAACAGTCTGCAATTAGTTAGTGCAATAGTTTGTCACTATAGTTTTGCAAAGAAATGTTAGCCTTGACAGCTGCTTTCACTTCTGTCAGTTTGACTCCAGACCAGAATCAAGGCAAGAGTTGTTGCAAATATAAACAGTTGTCCATCACTAGTAGAATTGTTGATGTGAAGGTTTTAGTCATTATTTTTTACTTTATTCAAGAAAATACATTGTTTGAATTGTAATGTTAAACACCTATATGTAATGCTTTTCACAAAATACAAATGTATGTTATGTGTAATATGCTCTGAAAAGAGCTGCCTCCAACTATAAGCTATAATGTCCTCTATTGGCCTTGAGAATGTGTTACGAATATTTCCAATATTTCACATTGATTTAATATTGACTTAACACTGCACCAAATTGACATTTTACATCTCTGCAAATTTCACTTTAGAAAAAAAAATTGCAGATTGCCATTAAATGCCTTTTGTATTTTTAAGTTCTTGATTGGTCTTACCTTATTGGCAAATTTAGATTCAGGGATGCGGGCCAGGATTTTACACTTAAAGACAACAATACAGAATAATCCTTAATATCTCCACATTCTTAAAAACATCAAGCACTTTACCACTTTTTTACATTGCAGGGGTTGTTGATGGACTTTATCATACAGAGATATTTTCTGTTTACATGTGACTGGATGTTTGCACTACTTGATTTTGGTAGTAAAGTTCTACAAATTGTCTTACAGACTAATTTTGGCTTCTTGTTCTTAAGCACACACCATCACTGAAACATGTGGTCACAAAGGGGAGGAGTGACATCAGCCTGGTAGTATTTGTGTCTTTTAATGTTTCATAACATATCCTTCTGTGATCAAGTCTTTATGGATCCAGAGGCAAGACTGTCACAAATCAAGTATACATACATTCAGATTCAGGGTAAAATGCAGCAGTGAGATATTGCAGACATTTGTGGAACTGTATGGAAATAAATAAGTAGATAAAGCTCATAACTTACATAACATATCTTAATGAGACTGGTGCTTACAGAAGGGAGTGGGAACTGCATTGCAGTATTTTGTAATATTGTTTTTAAGAAAACATTCAAATGGGTAATGACAATGAAGGACAAATGAGGGAAATATTTGTGGAACCAGCTGCTGTCACTGAACACAACTAAACACTGCTTACTGGGCACTACATGTGATTTACAGAGATGCACTGATGGCTTCCTTTAAGTGGATGTACAAGTTCACAGCCTGATATGGATCTGTTGGTGGAGTCCGATGGGACTCAGCCATAAAGATATTGCATAGTTCATAAACATCTTTATCGCATGGTATGGTCAGCGGAAAGACACACGTGTTTGCACAGTTGAACCTGCTCATCTTCAACAGGGGAAAGGAAGTCTCTTGTCTGGTACAGTTCAGGCAGTACATACAACACATTGGGCCGACCAGTAGGGACACTCACGTTTCTTGATGGCCTGATTGTGTGTGCATCCCAAACCTGTGAAGTGTCATCCAATTCATCCTGTGAAAAATATAAATATATATATATATATACACATTTAGGAGGAACTACATATATACATATCATGGCATGCCAAAATATAATTATTTAACTCACCTGGATGAGTCCCATGCAGCAAAACTGAAGGAGGTTTTTGTCCAGAAATCCACCATCAAAGAGTCCGTTGTCTCTGAGGTCTGCAAACAGGGATATCCAGAACTCCATGCATTGTCTTCGAAGAAAACCCCACCAATATTCAATTCTTTGATTGGCAGTGCTGGCTCCCTCCAAATAACTATCAAGGGTGTCCTCTTGGTGAGTGGAGACAAGGAAACGCTGAAAGCCTCGAACATAGCCATTTTCAGTTCCAAGATCGCCTCTCACAACTCTAGGGCAGCCCTTTAGACGCTGTACTGCTTCCATGTAATATCCTCCAATCAACTTTGGGTCACTGCTTGTTGTGTAGGCATTGAGCCAGACTATTTTCCTAGAAAAACCATCAATACATCCATTGATACATATGCCATATGGCTTTAATTTGTGGTACGAGTCCAGGTGCCAGATAAAGTTCGGCCTTCTGGAGAAGTACCGCCTTCGTCTGAGACGTCCTGCTTGCCTGCTTGATACTCCTCGGGGATCGAGCTCTTTTAACACCAGCCGCACATCCTCTTTTCTCACACGCAGACCGTTTTCTCTACATTTTGCGTACATCCATCGATATCCATGAAGCTGCCCAGAGGCATAGTTTGTCGCACATTCAAAAACCTTGTATCCACGCGTTCGGTGAATAGAGCTGAATCTCCCCATATAGGCCACGCCCACTTCCGCCTATAATTTTTCCTCCGCTAGAGTGCGAAATATCCATAGACTACTTTTCCGTATTCCCCCCATGCGCTTTGTCCGATTCTCACAAAATTTTTTACATAGCATCTGAGGACCCTCATAATAAAAAAGTAATTAACAGAATTTTGATATTTCAAAAAACCAGCACCTTATACAATTAGCACTTCCTGTGGATTGTCCTTCAAAAAAGGAAGTGGACCATTTCTCCACATTGGTATGTCCGATTGACACCAAACTTGGGTCCATAGTTCCACATGTCTTCCTTAAGCATCGTGCACAATTTCAGGCCACCGCCACTAGGTGGTGCTCTTTAAAATTAAGAAGTTTATATCTCTACAACGGTATGTGTGATTAAGATGAAACTTGGTACGATGCTTCCCCATGGCTTCCTGAGGCTCGCTAAAAAATGTGTCAACAGTCTGGTGGCATGGTAAATCACTGTGCGGAGACCGTAATAGTTATGAATATGAAATTCACAGGACATGTGTAGAGTGGTGCCTGAAGCTCACATACCAAAAATTGTGTTCGTCATGTTTGTAGCGCTACAAACACGACACACACGATTTTTGGTATTTTTGGTACCCCTACAGGATAAAAAACAGCAGCCCTGGCGCCACGATTCACCAATATGTATGAAACTCGGTAGACACGTGTAACATGCCGGGACGTACAAAAAAGCCTCCAGGACCTTACCTGAAACCCCACAGGAAGTTGGCCATTTTGATTTTCATTTTCACTTTCGGCAAACTTTTCACGTTGTATTTAAACGAACTCCTAGGGAATTTGTCGGATCTGCTTCAAAATTTGTGAGTACAGTCAAAAAATGGTCCTGATTAAAAGTTGTGCTATTTGTGCATGTACATTGAAGGGTGTGTCCGTGGCATGCCCTCAAATTTGGCCATAGTGAATTCCGTGCGCATTTTCTGTGATTTTTTCGCGTTGTATTTGTACAAACTCCTCCTAGGGAATTTATCGGATCTGCTTCAAAATTGGTCAGTACAGTCAAAAATGGTGCTGATTAAAAGTTGTGCTATTTGTGCACGTACATTAAAGGGCGTGTCCGTGGCGTGCCCTCAAAGTTGGCCAGCTTGAATCGAATGTCAAACTGTGATGCCATTGTGACTGTACATCAAACCGCGTGCCAGTGACAACTTGTCAATTTCAGCAGATTTGCCATAAAATAGTACTCATAACTTCAGTGTGCAATGTCCAATCTCCAATAAACTTCATATATTCTGAAACAGTTTTGCCCTGAACTGGCGCTGAATTGGCGCTATACAAATAAAATTGAATTGAATTGAATTGAATTGAATTGAATTGAATGTTAAAGAGTTCGGTCTATGTTAAAGAGTTCGGTCTAGACCTGCTCTATTTGAAAAGTGTCCTGAGATAACTTCTGTTATGAATTGGCGCTATACAAATAAAATTGAATTGAATTGAATTGAATTGAACACATCCTCATAACTGAAAAAACATGAAATTTCATGTTTTGGTCCGCACTTGTAAGGACGGCGCGTGACGCGGTCGCAGCATGCCCCGAGTTGGGTGGAGTGCGAGGTCCCGCCCAACGCTGCTTGCAGCTTTAATTGGAATTCTTTTTCCTCCTAAACAAACGCATATTTGGAGGCTTTCCCATGCTCGAAAACTCATGAAACGCGGCACACACGTCAGTCGTGGCGAAACATTTCGTATTTTCTAGGGGTCCACTATGAGCATAGCAAAATGGCCCCTCAGGGGCCCATAAACTGTACCATCCGGGGCCCCTTTCACCGATATGCATAAAAATCTAGACGAACAAAAAATCCAGTGGGAGCCGTATCCCAAACCCAACAGGAAGTCGGACATTTTGGATTTAGCGGCCATTTCTGGCGATTTGCACGTTGTATTTGAACAAACTCCTCCTAGGGAAATGATCGGATCATCTTCAGATTTGGACACAGCTAACTAAAGACATTTATGATTAAAAGTTGTGCTATTTACAACATTCCGTCGAATGGCATGTGTGTGGTGTGGCGTGGAATTTCAACGACTCGCCATGAAAGAGGGATTTGTCATAACTTCTGCATACATACATACATACATATATCATGTCATGAATCTTAAGAATTTTTGTCAAACCTTGTTGCCATGTCGACGTGGTGAAAATCAGCTTTTCTGTTAACATTTGAACACCTTTTGGGGGGCTAAACATGCCCAAACATTCATAAAATTTTTCACAAAATTCAGTCGTGGCAAACGCTTAGGTATTGTTTTGGTCTTGCAAATGGGAGTGGCATAATGGATTAGCCACGCCCCCCCAGAATCAGCCCCCCAAGACACGTAAGACTGACATGTATGAAAATTGGTAGGCATGTGTATCATGATGGTACATGCGACACGACGCGGTACTGAATCAAACAGCTGTTTTCTCCGAATAGAGTGTTATGTCATTCATACTCCCCTCCTCTAGTTGGCAGACATCCCATACTTAGACCTTAGCTCAGAAATACGTCATGCTTCAATACAAAATGTTCGAGGAAATCCCATCCAAACGTGACTTTTTTTGTCAAAAGCGACTAGCGACAAATCTAGTGACTTTTTCTGGTGTTATTGGAGACTTTTGTGGTGTTTGGAGACTGCATTATATTTTAAATAGTCGGTTTCTGTGGTCATTATGTGGAGTGTTATTATACAACTTGCTGGTTGGCGGGGTCAGTGCTTGCATTCATGCCTTCGTATGTATGGTTTCCCCTTTAATTTAAATATTTTGATATTAAAAGTTAAAGTAACCTATATAGAATTTTGAGATGTAAATTGCAGATTTGATATTAGTCCCTGGTAACAGGGTGGTGCCCCGAGGATAATTCAGTAATTCATAATCAAAATATTAATTACTTAATTACCCTAATAATTGATATTAATTATTACATTTGAATAATTATTAACATTTTGCTAATACCCAAATCCTGCCCCCTACTGAGCATGAAACCTCTTTCGAAAAACAGATCCTCTATTACTTCTGGCTCTGTAATAGTGACTGCAGGTGGACTGCAGGTTTTTACAGACATGGGTCACTTTTGGGAGCCAGCATAGACCTTCTAGGAATCCTTGAACTAAGCCGGTGATGAGTAATTAACAAAGCATCTGTTAGGATGATTTGACAGAGCTTTGGACAGAGCTGGAATGTTCACTGAGGTTGAAAGATGCTTAATGTTATTTCCCTGATTTACCAGATGGAGTCTCCTGGGAAACAGAACGTGGGTGACTGCACACAACCACACACTTGCATATATTACAGTTAAAAAATGTACAAATTATCATTGAAACTAATGCAGTAGATATATCCTGAAGAAAGTACCTGTCACTTTGGAGGCTGGCTTACAGAAATTAGCATGGATTTTTTTAACTG